ACAGAGAGACAGCTGAATGACCCTCGAGTTTACATACCAAAACTTTTATAATCCTTACTTAAGTTAAGCGCAGCTCTCTCATTCATCAAGCACTCGTAATAATATTAGCCACTAGCAGATGCTGGACAGAGACATTTTGAACCACCTTCATCATCAGTGAAAACCCGATGTCTAAAAATCATAAAAAATTTGTGGCCTGGAGAGATGCCATCATTACAACCGCGAGTAGCAAGCTAACCGAGAGACTTCTTGTGCCGATTAAACACGATACATGTGGACGTAGTGTTAACGTAGGCTGACTAGGTTTTTCTATGTATATATACATATTCTTACTTCCCAGCTGTGAGAGATGGTTGAAGATGATTGACAGTTACCCACCGAAAACAATCGGTGAAATCACGCTATATTGTGGACTGGTTGAAGTTAGACATTAATACCATTGGATGCCAGCTCAGTGGTCTAGAGGTTAAGCGTTCACGTACGAAACCAAAAGTCCTAAGTTCGGTCCTCACATGCGAGAGTCGCTGATGCTCACTGCTGATGAGTCCCATACTGGGAAAAAACGGCTGTCTAGTGCTTCCAAGTTTTTAATAGTGGTCCAACATTGATTGATTCATGAATTTAATGAAAACAAAAAAGGACTCAACATAAATAACATTGGTTACTACTCAGTGATCAATCAGTCGCAAATATTTCCAGATGTTTTTAAGCTGACAATACTACAGATTCATGCAACTCATTATAAGCAGAATGCATACAATATCTTTGGAAAGCATTTAAAATTTGTACAGTACCATATGACAGTAAATTTAATGTTTGACTAGATGTACGGAAATATAATACAGTAACACAAAAATTAAATGTCAGATGACCTGAAACGAAACAGTAAGATGAAATAAGGAAACAATAGGGTGTCTAATGTACACAATCTTTTCACAACAACAACAACAACAAGAAACCAATTATACCTTTTTGTTTTTTCGTCGACTAATTATCTTGTCAAGACCATTGAATGCACCAGAAGCTATAAAAAGTATATCAGTTGTATCTACTGGAACAGTTTCGCCACGTAGTTTACGTGAAGTTTTCATTTCAGGTACATTAACAATTGAACCTTCTAAAAGTTTTAACATACCCTAGAAATATATTTTTTTTGAAAAATGGATAATTAGATTGACAAGAAAAAATGAACACAAAACATACATGTATATTTAAATCAGTCAGTCAGTCAGTTACAACGCGGAGCTTCGGTACATGAGTACATAAGTTCAGGTTGCTATACCGCATTAGCACAGAGACGCAACTGACAATTAAAATCCAATTAGTGATAGCGATAGTAGAAGTATTAGCTGTAATGGAGAAGATTAGGGAGCGAAGATATGATTCGAGAAGTATAATTCAGTAAGATAAATTTAGAAGGAGAAAGGTAGAGATTATGAGGAATTCAGAAGGTTAGAATTTGAGAGAATACAGAGTGGATGCGCCTGTGCCATTGCAAACGATTCTGAGCCATGTCGTTCAAGGTCTCTAACCATTGGTAACCATCGTCTCGCAGACCCCAACCAGGTAGTCTACATCTACCACCATAAAACTCTGTCTAGTTGACAGTGACTTCATGGATTTGTACCGTGTTTTGGTTTGACCGCCTCTAGCTTTCTTCCAACCTAATCCTACACCACAATACAAGCTCGTCAGATGTGATTACGCCCAGTTCTACCTAAGATCTCAGTCAATCTAACTGATAAAACTGGACTACCATCCTAAAAAATCTCAGGGATTCACCTGTATTTAACACAAATGTTACGCCGTTTACAACAAAAGCGGTGATAGTAAAACGAACTAATTAAAATAGATTTTTGTTTGAGCAACAAAAGCGGTAATAGTAAAACGAACTAATTAAAATAGATTTTTGTTTGATTTTTGTTAGATTTTTGTTTGGAAATTTGGACCAGAAACATTATTTAGTACGTATAAAAAAATTAAACAATTATATTCATGTGTACATATCCCCCCCCGCCCTACCCCTTGAACCCCTTCCCCCCTGACATCTCGTGCAGCATACTATCGTCCAGTTATACAGCTGATTTTATATACCTCATCGAAAAACACTATCCGGTGTTGAGCACGTTCTACAATGAAAGTAGCATTTTGTAATAATCTAGCAATAATTGATTCAACGATCTTCACCAACATAACCAGCTTGAGTTATAGTTGTACAATCACAAATAGCAAAAGGCACATCTAAACATTGAGCCAAAGTTTGAGCTAATAGTGTTTTGCCTGAAAAAATAATAGAAATGCAAACTTTGAAACATTGAGCACAGTTTATTATTATTAGGATTTCATTACTTATAAATCTATGGCGCTTAAAAATAGAGCACATTGAAAGAGAAGATACATAAACCATATTAAAATTTCAAGTATATCATAATTAAATAAAGTAAATTCTCCAAACTATAAGTCTCATTGTTTAAAGTATCATACCTATTACTTAGATCTTTTGTGTTCTTCGTATCAATCAGTTCATATTTGATTCGCAATTAGTTTTAAAAGTAAGTCAGGCATTGTTCAAATAACAATGCTTGAATTTATGTATGGCGGCCACTTAAAGAAGATTGACTATCTACTAAACTGTTTTTCTGCTTAAGATTCATTATTTTTTGGTTTATACAAAGTAAGCATTTTATTCCTATTATTGTGACGTTGCTCTTATCCTATACTCTTTTTGAGGCATTAACTGTTTTGTTATATCATTTCTCATTTATGAACTATAGTTAATTGACTGCTAAGGCGTTACCCCTGGTCACACTCACTATTACTGTTATTTTGTATTGGATGTCAGTTTTCTATTGGTTACGATGCAGGTCTGGATTTTTCATGTATATAAAGGCATGATTGAAATAATAACGATCTGATCTGATCTGATCTAATCTGTTCATAAGTCGTTGGTTTTTCCTCTATTCCGTGGGGCTGGTAATTGAGAGGCTGACGTGTCCTGTACAGTGATTAGCGATCATCAAGGTCATTGTATATATTGCACAAACACAACAGATTTATTTAAAAAAAACTTCATCATTTGAGGTGGTTGAAACATGTGTGCGTAGCCTAACCACCCCGACGCCTCGTCGAGCTATGTTTGCGGTGTAGGAGTAGATTGGGAGAAAGCTAGGGCGGTAAACCAAAAACATGGCAAAATCCGAGAAGTCACTGAGAAATGGACTGAGCCATGTCGGTAGGTGTCAACTACCTGTCCAGGCCGTGAAGATGATAGTAACGATGGTTAGCGACCCTGAATGACTGGCTCAAACTGGTTGCAATGTCGTAGGTGGATCCATTCTTTGTGTTCTCTCAAATCCTAATCTTTTGAATTCCTCATCCCTTCTATCTTTCTCTCTTTAAGTTTAGTTCACTGGATTATACTTCTTTAATAATATCGTCGAACACTAATCTCTCCGATTACTTCTAAGACTCAAAGCCTTTAGTCAAATATGCACAAGTGTTTTTTAGGATTGGAGAGCTTAAGTGTTTTGAAGTAGTAAATAGAAAACGCAGGAGCTACGCTGTCTATAACGTACAAAATCCCAATAAGTACCATGACTAAGACATTTTTGCCACAACACGTGAGGTAACTTTTTTAATATGTTTAAATGAATCGGATTGATAATATTCCCAATCTAGGACGGATAACAAAAACCATACGTTGACTAATGGCCAGCTTGAAGATGCAACTTCTAGAGTTTCGAGTGAGACATTGGCCAGTAAATTTCAGTCAGTCAGTTGGATGTGAGACAGTACATGTCTAACTTTAAACAATTAGAGATATCGTGTGACGACTATCTTCCATTGCCCGGACAAATGACCATATCACGCCTAACTTGATGGAACTCCATTGGTCATAGATTATCATTAAAACTCTAGGAATTAAATTTCAAAGGTAGTCACTATGAGCACATGATTGAAGTCATACGTGTATACCGTTAGATCACGACTCCTTGATTTAGAAATTAGGCGTGTTTCCTTCAACAAGATTCGATTCCCTATCTGTGGTAGTAGACGCAAACTGCTGAGGAGCCCTATATTAGGTACTAAACAGCAGTCCTGTGCTTCCAAGGTTTGATACTAACCTTGGAAAATATTAGTTCACGATTTAAACATGTGGAAAATCAATTAGTGAAAGAGAACTAACAGTAAGACACTACTGTTTAAAATACTATAAATCAGCTGTTAGATAAATACTCATAAATAGATGCAAACTAATCTAAGGATATTAGTCCAAGTTCTACATCTTCCTTTTCTGACTCTTCGAACAAAAGGACCCTGCATTATTTTTTGATACTTTTTCCATAATTAGTAAATTGATACATATTCGAATGTAAGGCAGTTAAGTATAATCGATATGTGAACAGTTAATACATGTTGAATCGTATATTGTTACCAGCATTTTTACAATGTAATAGTCACTTTGAGATGTCAATAAAACTAGGACTCAATAGACCAAATGTTCGACCTAACAATCTAGTTGAAAACGACATACGTACAAGTCATGCATTACTGGTAGTTTACTAATAAACGATCATGATTGACGTACGTAAGTATTAAGAGATGTAAATATGAATTGCATAACAATATCACTACTACCACTAGTACTAGAAGCGACCAGGTCCCGATTGTCATTTAAGAAAATTATCCTAACAGTTCTTAATGCTCACCGTTGACTATAACATAACTAATTGACGAATATAATTCGTTAACTGTTTTTTTCAAATGTTTAGTCTTCACATACAACACATCAGTAGTGTGTTGTAAGTGATCGAATGATGATAAATAATATGTTTACTTAACCGTTATACAGCTCTTTTCTTTCTTTTGAGTGATGGAGTACAGAGAGAGAGAGAGAGAGAGAGAGAGAGAGAGAGGAAAGAAGGATAAGAACTATGTTTTCATCATGTAAAATAAATTCAATTTTTTTAAAATGAATAATCTTAACACTCTTACATTACCTGAACCAGTTGGACCTAACATTATAATGTTGCTTTTTTCTAATTTTACTGGTTGATCACAATCATTTCGAATCATTTGTGTACCACGAAAACGTTTTTCCATATCATCTTCTGATTCAGACAAATCCGAAGTTACAGCGGATGGCAATGAACCTGTTGTACTGTTTCCATTTGTAAATGAATTTTTCGACGAACTTACTGAACTATTGCGCAAAAATTCAAGTAATTCTAAAAAATCAATAGAATGAATGAGTGCATTGAATTTTAGAAATACACAAAATAAGAATAAAGGAATGAACGAGCGACTCTGTAAATATATATGTATATATATATAACGTTATATACATTTGATTAACCTAACAGAGATATTTGTATAGCAACAACTATATTTGTACTACAGTGCTTTTATTATTGTTGTGCTTGTATGGACATTTAGGCTTGAGCATCGGCTTACAGCCTATGTGCATATTCATTTTATTCGCTTTAATATTAGCCTCTAAATAAGTCGATGATGACTCATTCATTTTCCAATGTATATATACATGTACGTTTTGATCCTATTCACGTGACCACTGGATCATTCACTCTCTTGCTGTTCAGGTCTTATGCCTGCGGTTTTGTGATATGTGTGGTACGAAAATATAATGTCCTTAACTCTTCGTATTTGTCTTCTGATTTTATACACCGTTGGGTGTTACCTGATAATGGTTAATACATTTAGACAAATAAATTCCAGTAAATCAATAAAATGATTGCTTTCTCAGGCATAAAATGCAGCAACAAACACGAATGACTATTGTTCAAAGCCAACATGAATATACTACTAACCATAGAAAGTAGGTAAAGTCACAGTAACTACGTTATTATGCACATAATATGTGTGATTGATTCTAGGCCTTTGGATAGGGTTTAATAAATCACAGACAACAAGTTATTTTCATCCTCTTAATAGCCCCATTCTTTTCATAGGAAGTAATGACCTTCAGCTTACTCATGTCCTTGTAACTACGCTTAAGCGTTTCGTATGGTGCCTGTGGGTCTAGATATTTGTTATATTATTTATTGCTTGTCGTCATGTAGTACACTATGCATTATCGATTTTGAACCATAGCAACGTTTAAAATGAGTAGTATTTTAATCGGTACACACACTCATCCCATACGCATCTCATCTGTTTTATGTCCACTGAAATGAATCTATGGGATACAAACATCCAAAATACTAGCATTCGACTTTTTTATACCCGCGCTGTTCTTAACGAGGTGGTTTGGTTGGTCGACAGTATCAACGATATGAGTAGGATCGATATTTCACCTACATCATTAATTATGCGATCGTATTGAAATTAGGATCGCGAGTACCAGAAATTAATTTATGTAACATGAGAAATCAAACCTACTGAATATTCTGGGTCAATCATTATTACAAACTAATTCAGCAAACAATAGGCAGATATAAACAGAATAATAATAGTAATAATAATGGTGTCAGTAGCAATTTCCTTGTTTACACAATGAACTATTTTATCACCTGCAGTGTTATATTTAATAGACTGGTTAACACACCCTTTTTGTTTCCAGAAATTAAAAACACTTTTTCAAAGACAAAATTATGAGTGTTTAGGACCAATCTTCAAAATGGATACACACATGCAATATGAACAACTAGTTAATTATTCATACCTCCTACAGAAGGTTGAGTTGAATTGCTCCGATGATGATTTACAGGTACAGGAGGACGTGTATCTGAAAGTTGTTCACCTGAGGAATGATGATTATTTACAGGGGTTTTAACTTCATTTATTGTAGGATTTGTTTCTGCAGTTGAATAAGTTGAATTAAATTTATTATATTCCGATGTGCTAATTAATCGATTATATTGTATACGATTGTAATGAGCATAGACTTGAACAGCTAGAATTTGTTTGGCTTTATTTTGACCTATTACATAACGATCTAAGTATGGATGTATCTAAGATAAATAGGAGTAAACAGAATATTTCCAATGATAAATAAATAAATAAGTATATATACATCTATGATTAGTAATAATAATCATGAAGAAATCGATAAGATTTATTGATCTGTCTTTATTTTACTATTAGAGAGTTTGTATCCCATTGTCTTGTACCGATTGTATTTAGTTGACATTGGTTTGAGAAAGAGAAAAATAATGAAGTTATACATCCGTTTACAGTTTAGCAATAGAGTTCACTTTCGTTTGACTCAGTGTATATATTGTTGAAACCATGAGTCGATCAATGTTAGACCATCATTAGAAACCTAGGAGCATTGGACAGCCGTTTCGTCCTGGTATGGGACTCCTCAGCAGTGCGCATCCACAACTCCTGCACCCCGCAGGATTCGAACCCAGGACCTTCGGTATTGTGCGCGAACGCCCTAACCGTTAGACCACTGAGCCGGTACCCAACGGTGTTAATGTCTAACTTGATCAAATTCACGGAGTTGCGCAACCTCATACACAGTCTTCGGTAGACACTGCCTACACCCAATGTATATATGACTAATACACGACGCAATCGATACAAACCTAAGAACAATTTATAGATATGCTACCACAATATTCAACATCAGACTATTTTATTATAACAAATTAATGGTAGCCAATAATATTTCTAAGTGTAAACAAGTAGTGGTTAAAATAAACACTAAAATGTCATGACTGCGATGAATCGTCCTCCCAGCAGTATAGTACAATGTTTTCTATCTAGAATTTAACATATATAGATAGATGAGAAAACCTCAACTATTCTTCGAAGTTGAATAAACTGACCAAATATACGGAAAAACGTTGTGTAGTTAGTTAGTTAGTTATTCAAACAGCAATTAGCATTGTCAACATACATAATTTGTGTTGAACAAAACATGGCAGAAATGCATGAAGTCACTGACAAGTGGACTGAGTCATGTTGGTAGATGTAGGCTACCTGGTTGGAGTCTGCGAGACGAAAGTCACCAATGGTTAGAGACCTTGAACGACATGGCTCAAAATCGTTTGCATAGGCGCTAGAGCATCCATTCGTTGTGCACGCTCAAATCCTAATCTTCTGGAATCGTCAGCACCTCTACCTTTCTCCTTCTATATTTATCTTATTGAATTATACTGCTTGAATAATATCTTCAAACCCTAGTCTTCTTCATTACCATTAATACCTCTACTATCTTTATCACTATGCGATTTGATGTGACATTTGCGTCTCTGTACTAATGTGAACATGAACTTATGTACATACGTACGAAGTTCTACGTTGCGACTGACTGACTGATTTCCTAAAATAAAAAGGCTATAATTTGAAATGAAAAGTTGTTGTAATTTTATTGTTTTACTTTGTTAATTTGACTCTTTTAACATACAAGTGATAATAATTGTTTTATTCAATAGAACAAATTATGTCATAGTAATTAGTTTTCAGCACAGATTATGCAACAATAACAATAAATTTCTATTCAATATACACTGAAATCGTAATTATTAAAAATAAGTAACCATTTTTTAAGTATGTGTAATGGTGTATTTTTACGAAGAGAACACAATTACTGAAAAGGAAACATTTATTATTGTACTTAATTCTGACAATAATTATTATATTGTATTCCTTGAACTTTTGCCTATTAGATGTAGTTACTTAATCTTTTTCATTTCACTGTGATTATCACTCAAATTGCCTTGATTGGTTTAACATTTTCATATAAATATTTATGTATATTAGAGTAAAGCCTGATGACGATCCAATCGAAAACAATATTGTTCGCTTATATGTGTTGTTCTTATATATATTTGCTTCTTAACCCCTATTCATTTAATCATATTCGTATTCACATCATATGCTTAACAGTTGTTTGATCTTTGCTGCGCGAAAATAAACTGTAGTTATCGCTTCGTACTGTCGTTTCTGAACTTCAACCATTGTTAGGAAATGATTATAGGTAACAGTCATCAGAAAGAATCATATTCAGTCGAAAGAGTAAATATAACAATAAAAAGATCATATATTAACAAAAACAATCACAAAGAACGACTTACCTCCTTAGGAGTAGGCAATGAAGGTCGGACTTCTTCAACATTGCTAGGTGGGAGATCATTTTTATCTATTAATTCGTAGAGCTGTTCACATGCTTCACACTCCATAAAACGTGATATGTCTGTAGAAACAGATGTAGTTGGATATGAAGAGTCAATAAGTGTATCTATCGTTGTTTACGAAATTGCTTACTTATGAAGCAGAAAGGAACACTCAGTAAATAATTAGGAAAACTAAGTATAGCTTAGTGAAATTCAGTAACTAAGCATCAACCCAAGTACTTGAGTCTTAAATCACATTTTTTGACCTCTAGTAATACTATCCAGCTGCGTAAACATAGGCAGACAAGAAACTCTTGATCCTAGAACCCAACAGAATGAAGTTGTCAATTACATACACACATTACAAATTAACTATTTAGAAATGTAAATAATCAAAACGACTGCTATGCACATAGTTTGCAATAAATGGTGAAGCTATGTTGCTTTCCATCCATCGAGTACAATTCACTCGTTTACACATAGAAATCATTCAATTTCAAACAAAACTATAACCAATATAACCCCTAATTACTCATCTTTCAAAGAGCATGACTGATAAAGTAATCATTTCGTAGTAGCAGAGCTGAAAGACTTTAGACAGTCAGTAACAAAGCTTTTTGGGACACATAGAGTACAATCTCAAACACCTGATAGAACTCATGTCCATCATGAGACTCAAATTCACACAGAACTGATGTTATGCATGGTTGGCATAAGATTAAGGATTGAACTGAAACGAATAGGAAAAAAGACGAAATTACAAATGTGCTTTTAAGATGTCAGAAGATGAGGTAGAGTACGTTGATTAAAAAAAGACATGACTCTTGAAGGCGTCTCAAACAGTTATATTTAAATGACTTGCGTCGTTTTGAATTCGCTAGATTTATTTTAGAGTACATACAAATTTCTAACCAGATAAGAAATAAAGTTGTTGTGGATCAACACAGCACCTGATACAGATGACCATCAGTTCAAGTCATTACATTTCATAATAATAGAGGAAACCAACAAGATAAATAGCTAATAAGTGTGAATAGCAGTAGTATTAGTCATACTGACAGCATATAGAGAATAAGATGCGAGAAGTCTCCTACACAAACTAATTTAAATCATTAAAGTTCAAACAAGTGATTTGAAATCTGAGTAAGCGAATCTTTGGTCAATCATTAAAAACAATTACCGAAAGAGATACGGTGATAAACAGTAAACTTTAGCTTGCTGCGAGTGATAGTGATATAAGAAAAAATTAGATTCAATATCGCTTATCATCTCCTCTTACATTCATATCAGGCAGCTACAATGTACAAATTCGTACGTACGTACATAATTTCAGGTGGCCATACAACATCAGCACAGAGACGAAATCGTCAATACAAATCCCATAGTAGTAGCGGTAGAAAAAGTATTAGAAGTAACCGGAGAGATTAGGGTTCAAAGATGTTATTAAAGTATAATTCAGTGAGGTGAATTTAGAAAGAGGAAGATAGAGGTGATGAGGAATTCAGAAGGTTAGAATTTCATAGAACATAAAGAGTAAATGCACATGCGTCACTGCATACCGTTTTGAGCCACGTCATTTGGTGTCTCTAACCATCGATTAATATAATCTCGCGGACCCTAATCAGATAGTCTACACTTACCAAAATGACTCAATCCACTTGTCAGTGACTTCATGGATTTCGGCTGTGTTTTGGTCTGGCCACCCCTAACTTTCTTCCAGCCTACCCCTACACCACAAAACAACTTGTCGAGGCAGTCAGTGGTTGGGAATTCGTAACACATGTTCCAACCACCTCAACTGATGAAGTTCCAATACTTCAACTATTGACCTGCCATCCTTACCCAGTACTCGTTTCCACACAACAGTATTGTTTACTTGGTGGTCTCACGTTATACGAGCATTGCTTCGGAGACATCTGTGATCGAAAACGAGTAACCTACAAATATCTTCTACTCTCACTGGCCATGTCTCTCACCCATATAGTAGGACGGAGCGAACATATGCGCAGTAGACTCTTCCTTTGGTTAGCAAACGGCTATCTCGCCTACGCCATAGGTGACGCAAGTTGGCAAAATCCAATCGAGCCTTCTGTATCCGTGAAGAGATTTTGTCAGTCGCCAGGCCATCAGCATTGATGAGACTCTCAAGATAAGTGAAGTGATCTACACACTCAACTACTTCACTTCCTATCACTAGTTCAGGTGCCGATGCAACCCAGTCGTCTGTTACCTATCGCAGCTGCCTTTTCTATTTCCCTCGCTTTCGCTACTCACTACTTTTTGTAATCATTGCGTATGCCTCTTATCAACCTGCGCCTATGGTGACTATGTTCTTCATCGTACTCAGAGCCAGACAAGATGAGCTTTCGAGCATCCATCTTACTGGCAGATATTACTGTTGTTTTCACAGCTTTTTGGACATCATTCCAAGCCGCCTCCGTATGAGTATCACTTACACGGTCACCTAACTTTTTTCTAGTTGTTTATGCAATATATTCTTAGCTATGGTATCATTAAGTAGAATGCTAAGAGGTTTTCTTGCGGTGTCTCTTCTATGTCCAGTAAGTCTCAAACAAATACGCGTTCGCATTAGAGCATGATCCGCATCTAAAATGTGCTTCAGAACTAGCGACAGTCTTCTATCGAACCTCTCTATCGGTGGCTGAGAGCGATGTGATCTAGTTGGACCCGGTGTTGAGCCGATTTCGAGGGTCTTTATTTCAAAAGATGTTTTTCTCGTGTTTAAAGTTAGTGTTTGCTAGAAATAAGCGGTTATCTGAGCAGAGCAGCAGCAGACGGTCACCATTATCTGTTCTATTAGCCACAACACCATAAGATCCGCCCAGGTGTCTTTACTTTTCGCTGAGTCTAGCTGCTTGAGCATTAAAGTCACCAGCCATCATTACTATATCTGAGCGCTTAACATTTTGGAGAACGTTAGAAAGGTTCCTTTAAAACTCATATTTTTCCAGCGTAGTGAGAGGCAACTGCGAGTGTCCTCATATTTCCGAGTCCTTACTGTCATGTTTAGCTGGACAGCGCACAGGTGACTGTCCGCTAGAGTTCAGTCTAAGAGAGCTAGTTCTACTTAAGAACTTAATGCTATACCTATACAAGCAAGGTCATGGGAAGCAGCAGTGGGGCTTTCAGGTACACGAAGTGGAAGTCAAAATAGTGAGGTCATTAACGTAATGCGTTCTTATTGCTATTCGGTATTCTCATTGCCGACATGGTGTGATAAAACGAACTGAAGCAAATACGTTTCACGTTTTATGCTGGTTACGGTTCACATTGTTTTTTTACTTTCCAATTAATAATGATTAAAATGCGTAAAAACTTAGACCAATTTATTATCAGCTAGCATCCAAGATTCATTTACCAATCACTGCACAACTAAGCGGTTACCACTAGTTTTTGTTTTGTAATCCACTTGCATAATACAACTTTATGCCCACCTGCTTGTTAAAGTGGTGGTATAGTAAGAACAGTATGAATTAAAATATAACTAGGTATAGTGAGAAAACACTTTGAAGCATTCTTAACTGAAAATGCCTACAAGCTGATATAATTAACCTGAAAACCTTGTTTCAAATAAATCATTGTCACAAAAAGATTACATGATGTAGTTGGAACAATGGATCTTAAACGACCACCGCATTTGTTACACTTTATGAAAGAGCCAGTGCCATTTCCAGAGCCTCCTCCAGAACCTCCAGGACGTCCCTTATTGCCGGAGTTAAGTATATCAACATTGTTAAAATTGAAGGAACCACCACCTTCAGAAGATCCCCCTGGGTTTTGGACTTTACCTAATAAGTATAACAACATGAACAAACAAGAAGCAAATATAAAATATAATAGCTCTCTCTAAAAAGATAAAGTTGCTACAAATAAGTTTTATGCGTGAAATCACATAGTTTAGCTGTTTTATGATTGCATGACAGCACTGTTAGTCATGGATTACTACGATATTTTACAAGTCTTATCACATTCTACATAAACATGTCGAACAACCAAACAATTTAACAGAAAGAAACAAAGAAGTGCTGTCGAAACATTCAGCCTTAGTCTTTATCATTACTCAACTGGTGGGAAAGTCATTAACTGATACCAATAACAAGAATATATTGTTAACAGAAAATAGAAATTTAGTCATGAAAACACTAGTCATTGACTGTAGCACACTGATATTATAATCACACTTGACTCAGTGAGTGAGAGCACATAAATACCAATTATTGTCTATTCCAAAGCTACGTGAGTAATCTTTGAATACCATGGGTTCAAGAGTAGCAATTAGGTTACAAGGGAAGTTAAAACTCAGAGTACGAAAACAAAAGCAATAAATCTGGTATGGGAAGACTCCATGTTAATCTTGAGTCAATAGACAACCTAACGCTAATATGTCCAGGATTCATAAGTCGGTGATGATAGATCAACAAGGAAAACGCTAAAGTATTATGAGCTGAGCAGAAACAGGATATTTTGGATAGTTTTGGAAGCATCTAAGCTAAGATGGTTAGAGACCCTGTATGACACGACTCAAAACTGTTCGCGATGACGCATATGCATCCATTCTTCGTGTTCGATCAAATCCTAATCCTCTGGATTCTTCATCATCTTTATCTTTTTATTTGACAAGAACCTACTTCTTAGATAATACACATAAAAACCGTATTGTTATCTATTACCGCGAATACTTCTACTAACTCTACTACGATGGAATCTGACATCTCTGTGCTGATTTGGTATGGCAACCTGAACTGATGTACGTACATACGAAGTTCTACGTTGCTGTTGATTGATTGATATCCAAGCTAAGACGTTACAGTATTTCCGATGTAGGAGCTAAATATTCTGACAACTACTTTGAACAAAACGACCTTTACCTTCTCGGTTATAGGGAGCACAGACAAAGGTTAGAAGTCCCATCAAAGGATTTTTTTCAAAAAACAACTGTAAATTCACTGCTTTTACAAGTTTAGAGAGAAAGAGGAGGCCAGAATAATTAGTAGGGTTTCAAAACACTGCGAAGAAATGGCAGGACACACTCCTCTTCAAAATATATCAGAGCACGAAGAAACACGTGTTGCACAACATTAACAATGGTTTCATTATAACAGAAGATAAAGCATATCGTAAAAAATTTATGGTAGAAACGATAACGAATGTACTGACAGAATAAGGTTTAATCTAAAAAACTCACTACTCTTCCTACATTCAACAGTTTCTGAATGCCCTGAAATGTTACAACCTTCATGAGCACAAGCTTCTGAGAATCTTGAGAGTGCAAGACTTTCGTATACATTGCAAGCATTGTTCCCATAGCGACCGGCAACTAATCAATGTATAAAGCAAAAGGCCTACTTATAGATGCACGTCCATGTATTCTCCAGCTTTTGACAACACACGAAAACGCAGACGAGGCGAAATTACTCATAATTAAGAAGGTTGCCGAATGAACGACCTAGAACCCTTAGATCTCAAGGCTACATTTGAAACTCGCACACGTAGATTACACATGTCCAATATTGTTGAAAGATTATTAGTTCTTCTCTCGTGTTTATTGTGATTTTATCATTATTCAACTGATTCATTTGCTGGATGTTGTTCACTGAAACTCACAGATGACAGGAGAATCAGGTATGGAATGCCTCAATAACGTCAACGATGTGAAACTGATTACTAATTTTGATTGCCTCCTGAATCTAAAGTGTCCATAATGTCTGCGTGAACATGGAACCTAACTTTTTCCTTAAAAACCTGAAACTTCCAGGCAATAAATAATAAAGTGACAGATAGTGAAACTGTGAATCTATCCGTGACCCTCCTAGAAGAAGTGGGATTGCAGTGGTCAAGGGATCAAGCGTATTTCCTCGAACCCGAAGGTCCTGTATCCGATTCCGAGGGACATTAGCCATGCATGAGCACCCTTGGTGAGTCCTCTTCAATGATATTCTGAACGTTTTAATCACCTTTCTGCAACGTCAACTGTTTTCTGCATGCGTATGTTCCGCGTTCTATTCTGTATACATGTATGTAGCTCATTTTTGTCAGCCTACATGAAGAAAGCAACGCTTTGTCATATTGAATGGTCGCATTTTCTTTATCCAATCTTCGTTCCTACCCTGCTGCTCTTCTTAGTGTCTGTGTTTGGTTTCTTATTACCGCCTTCGTTTAAACAAAGTAAACCCAGGTATAATTTACATGCTTAGAAGGAAGGTTTATATTAGTGTGGCTGAGTGTATGTTCAAGTGAAAATGATTGATGGTTTCAACTTGATTATTCTTTAGATTCGATTCAATAAACAATCAAGATATGTGAAGTCTAAAAGCGGATTCAAACCCAATAACCGTTTCAGAACCTATTTATTTACAACTCTTCAGTCATCATTTTTAAGCCTAAATAGACTGGAACAAAATTGAGTGACTGAGTAACTTTGGCGTGACTCGTCAGATCTGTTTCAATTTATCCTCCTGAAATGCAGTTAAAATCGATAATGGACAGTCGCATATAAATGCTCAGTAATTCTGGTAGCTCTATTAAATTCGCATTTACTCTCCTCTAGGAAGTGAAAATCAGAAAGCCCGAAGAGTTGGTCTAATCTCTGATTCTACAACACCGAAATCAAGTAAACCACCACTTCGTCCTATTCAAAATAAAAACATTTTCCACTGCTCACTTGAGAAGAATGAGGCGTCTGTTATTTATAATAAATAGTTACGAAAATATCCAGATTCTATTTACAATGTTTTATTCCGAAAAATTGATTATTGGTTTGCTCTGAAAACAGGGCTTTGCTGCTACATTGATCTTATAGGATTAACTTTTATGGGAATGTCCGTTCTACCACTTGTAACCATGATGGAT